TTAACCGTATAGAAAATTTCTTTAAATCGAAGCAACCTTTTCTCTGAGTGTACGTCTGATAAAATTCAGTTTATAATTTGTACGATACTTAGAGAGGAGACGACAATAGCTACATAATTAATTTAACACGAGAAAAATTGTACCACGAAGAATCGAAACCGTGCGTGCAGTTTTGCGACGCTCTCGTTTATTAACTGCTCTCTCGTTGCGGTAACCACGAAAGTAACGCAAACGCATATTATGTATAATGTTACCCATTTGCGACATATGCATTTATCGCGTACGTTTGCGCTGACCACACCACAGTTATCGACGTGGCTCCATTACGTAGATTAAAACACCATGTGGACGCTATACGTCAGGCGATCGGTAGAGTCGCGTTTCGTGACGTTTGAAATTCTCAGAAGAATGGTTAGGCGAATCGGGAAAGGTGGTATTCATCGCGAGAAGATTAATCGATCGATTGGATTGCGTCGCGAATTCATTTGGCAACGAATCGACAGATAAGATGGATGTAACTTCGCTCTACTTTCCGTCTGTTCTTTTCCTTTACCCCATCCAATCTTCACTTTCGCAAACCGATATCTCGATCTTCGTCACTACCGATGAGATGGCGCTTGTCAATACGGGAGAACGTGGTCCTTGAAGTTGGGTAACAAAATCGCGACAAGATTCGTAATTATCTGTTGTAAATCTCGCTCGTTTTGGAAAACATGCATTCGCGTCGCTCCAATTCACAATTTAATATTACGAGGGATAAAAATCTTGACATTTAAGTGCAGCGCCAAGAACTCTTTTGAAGGTCAGCGCATTGTCCAAATAAAATATATTTGTTACAAAACGAGCGACGTGTGTATATATGACGGCTTTGAAACTTTGCCAAGAATGGCATTTCGATGCTACTGACAGTGTAACATAGAACACGCTTGGAATTCTCCATTTTGCGATTGAATAAAAATACCATTAAGCTTTCCCGCTAATTAAAGGCCGCTTGAATTAACGGATAAAGGGGCTCGTGTTCTATTTTCCATGTAATGCCGTGGTAGAGTATAATATTTCAAAAATGTATTCTATTTCACCGTTAGAGAGATAATCGCTTATAAGATGATATGGTTATTCATACATGTTCTTCATCATAATAATTAATCCTATTATCCGATATACTAATTTTTCTTCTCAAGGAATTATTAACAATATTGAAATAATATGATGTATAATAATAATAATGCAAAATAATTAAATTAGAAAATATCTATTTCGAGAGATATTTGCATGATAATTAATTAAAATAAAAATGCAAAGTAATGTGTGTGTATGTGTGAGTATATATATATAAAACTATTCTAAAAATTTTCGAAATTATTATTTTTTAAATTAATTTGTCTAAATGTAGATCAAATTTGCAGCAATAAAAAATGTAATAGTGGATCGATTTATAACGCATATTTTCGCATAATAATTTAATATATTTATTAAATGCTTTTAAAAAGCATTTTATTTTATTTACCTTAAAATATCTTATAAAATGTATTTTATATATTTTTCATTGCAAAATTTTAAATATTTGAAATAATAATAAAATATAAACACATGTTTATGACATGGTTATGACATATTTTTCTGGACAATGTTAGAGCATATGTATTATTTAAATCATTCATTTAATCGAATTAGCTATTAATATCGTTAAATATTCATACGTGAGAAATTATGAAAACATTTTTGTTAAAAATAGTATTCAATGAACGCAACTTTCTGCATTTTGTTTATTAATCGTTTATTATTACGATAATAATTATGTTTTGCCATATTTCTATTGAGAAATATTGTATAATAAAAGATAATTGATTAAAAAAAGAATAAAAACGAATAAATTATTCGTACAACGTAATTGTATCTCGGAAATATTTTTCCATTGAGTATAATGGCTATCTCTTATACAAAGAATCTATCCTATAACAGAAATTTCACGGAAGAAAAAGTAAAAGAATTCTATAAAGATAAATCATATTAAATAAATACTTTGTTTCAAAGAATTTGCTTTAATAATAGATAAAATTTAAAATTTTCTCTTAATAATCTTTATAATTAATGTCCAAAAAACGTTATTGTTCGGCGAAGCTTTCTCACTGACAGCGACTATTCTTTATATGAAGATCCGAAAAGCGAAAGAAGAATAAAAGATTACTAAGCAGACGGGGAGTATGCGCTGGATTTTTATAGCTTGAGTGAACGTAACTCTGGATAGCCCGGCAATTTTGTGGTGTCGTTAATCAGAGTCGACTATTCTCCGACGAGTGGCTCACCACGAAATGGCTATCGTCACTCCCATCCGAGGCAATCCCTTCACGATAACTACGTCCTTTCCGCAAAGCGTCGAGAAACGCATTGCGCCTCGAAATGTAACAGCTATTAATGCTAGAATATACGTCTGTTTGAATATTTGAGAACTCGAAAATATTTAAATAAATTTCGGTAATGAGAAGCACGCGTCCAAAAACATGGCAGCATAAAACTTGTATAGTTCTTGGTAATTTTTAACACATCACGTCCAGACGTCTCTGGATGTGACGCGTTGAACATATTCTTTTCCAAAGTCATATACGGTACCGTAATGCATAACAGTGGAATAGCGTAAAAGTGAAAACTTTGGATGTGATTCTTACTGCGAAATGGAAAGAATATCGTTTCAATTTTTCCTCGATACACGAAAATTAAAGGAAGTCATAATTGCACATTCAATGAGATTGATATTCTAATTAATGTGCCATTAATTCGAGGATGCGATGCAAGCTAAATCACACCAAGTTTCACTCAGAAATTACAGAATCGATATCTCGGTATTGTTATTTGGAATCGTATAAACAATCAAACAAAATTGCATTCTATTGTATGTATATTGTTTTCTCTACAATCACATTAGTGAGGCAATTTTTGATACATCATTCATAATAATGCATCAAAAGCGCCTTATTAATGTATTTCTATATTTGCCTTTTCCATAAAATCCTTGCAAAATTGTTATTAATTAAAAACAGTTTATATAATATTAAAAGATATCATGCTTCCAATATATTCATCTTTTATGTAAAGCTCTATTATCATTCTTTTATGCGTAAAACAAAATTATTCCCAATTTATCAATAATCCATGTTAAATGATTTGACACAATTAAAATGAATATTAAATTTATATCGTGCTTCGAGAAGTGTAAATATAGGATAGCGAATTTTCGGTAGCGATGTCAAATTAACCGGATAGAGAGCAAATCGAAACAATGGCGCTCATTTCAATTCGGCCTCGCGATACTAGCGATAAATCAGAATTAGACATTGTTGGTAATTAAACAATCGACGACAATGGAGATTGGAGGAAGTACCGGCTCGACCCCGGCACCGATTCGGGGTTGCAAACGAAATTAGTCTCACGGGCGTCGCAGTACCGCGCGACGTGCTGATTAAACTTAATTTATGTAATTACACTTGCCAAGAAGTGCTATTGTGTGCTCTACGAACTTTCTCTACGACGTAATATAATGTAACGTCGCGCACTTTGTCGTGGTCGATGACGAGGTAATGGATTGCATTGTTTCGTCGTTAATGCGACGTTAATATTGAGAACCTATCGCACAAGTTAAACCCCTTGAGTTTAATATCCTCATTGAAAGTTGCGTATCGCAAATTACCTTACTGTTAATAAAGATTTCAAGGCAATACGTAAGTAATTGGAATAAGAATCGCGTACCTTTGCATATTTTTTTATTCAACCAATTTACCGATGTAACTACATAAAACAAGTTAACAATAATTAAATCACGATGAATTCAAATCACTATTAAATTAGTGTATGTTATTTTATAAATTGTTATTTTCATGATAAAAGTATTTTTCAATTTAATCAATAATAAATAAAACTAATTGTTCTGTTATTATGAAAATCAAAAATCTGCAAGTTAAATAACGTCCATTCACGAGTCTAAAATAACAACGTTGACGCAAAAAAACTGACGTCAATCGATGATTAATTTATGAAAGAGTGAAATAAAAAAACATTAGAAAAACACTGCTGGTGACTGCTTTGGCAATCGAAATAATGGTATTTCTGGCTATCAGCCCATACATGGAAACGCTATATGCCGATATAGTCGGCGGATATCTTGCAGTTTCTCGCTTTACCGCGGTTGACCAAGAACGACGAATAATCTCCGCGTTCAGCTAATGATAGTTTCCAAGTAGTTTTCGAGGTACTCTCCTGATTCCCGAGTTGCCGAGAACATATCGCCACTACTAGACGACGATGCACCCACGAATTTTGCACTACGTGTACGAGATGAGGTAGCGGTTGATCTATACCGGTCACTTCGGGACTACGGCAGACGTAATCGTGTTATCGTTCACCGCTAACAGCCATCCCGAGCGAATCCATGCATCCAGACATCACCACATAAACTCGTCGGTTTAACTCGCTAACGACGACAGAACAAACGAGTCCAGATGTTCTTTGTTGGAACAGTCTTTAAAAAAAAAAAAATTCTTTTAAAACCCTATTGGCAGCAGAGTTTAAAGTTACGGATAAAAGCACATTCGAGATTCTGCGAATTTCACGATCAATTAAATCACTCATATTTTAATACCCAATAGTAAAAGCCGCAAAATAAAAGTCCACGTTTAATATTTAACTTTACTTAATAAACTCTCACAAAAAAGAAAATTAATTTTATTTTGTAGATTGAAATTATTAATTAATTAAGACACGTATCATACAATTTATATATATATATATATATAAAACATGAAAAGTTTCCTATGTGCGCATATTTAACGTTATTATTATTTTAATTATGACGTAATATTATAATTAATTAGTAATTTATTTTAGAGCGAAATTGGAAAATGATTAAAATAATGGTAATTTGAAGTATCTCGTATATTTTTCCATTATTTAAATTTACTCGCTTGAATTCTGTCGCAATATCAGATGATCGTTTTGGCACAGATTCCACTCGATTGCGCGAGAACGGTCGGTCGAAACAGGACATACGTAAGCACATTAGTCCCATTTAACACGTTCCAGTGGCTTTGTCTACGGTATCATGTGTGTTTGTGGTATAAGCGTCGAATAATTGGGTTGTCGGGAGCATGTAGGAGCATTCGGACGTAGGTGGAAGAGGAAGATAGTGTCTGTGAGCGTAAGGTAGAGATAGATATAACGTATCAGTCGCACGTGACTTGATGCATGCAAGCGATTGCACGTGTCGATATGTTACCGCATCGCTCCATCGAGCAGGACATGACGAAGATCAAAATGTCCTGTGCTCTGTCACGTAGCGCGAATATCAAATAAACTGCCTCGCGATATTGCATCAATATCGCGAAATTGACGTGCAAAGTTTTTTGGATCTACGCATTTCTCTCTGCTAGTGACGAAATTTAAAACAGTTAAAAATTTTTATTACGGATGAGTAATGAGTATTAATTCTCGCAAAAATGTGACACACTTTTCTCTCTCATCGATTTGCGGCATTAATTATCAGGCAGAGTAAACTCGGGAGAGATAAGCAACGGTCGCGCTACAAGTCAGAAGAACTAACTTTGTAATACTTGTATTTATAATGAGCTTCTCTTGAAACGACGTATTCTGTTAATCAGCGAAGTGCGCGAAGAACGGAATACGCTGCGTTCCTTTGATGAGAGATAGTAAGGATGACGACGCACTGTAAGCCGACTGTAAGGAGACTGCGTGTAACTACGGGCCGTTTACAACACAGCGGGTCTGATCTTGCAAGGGAGCCCCCCAGGGCGAGTTAGACTAGACAAAGCCATTGAGAGGATGTCGCCCGCTGGGGGGTACAGATAGGACATACGATGCTCCCTCTTCCTTCTCCTCCACAAGATGATATCGTATCTCCTCTACGTCCCAGGATGATGCTTCGTCTCGTTCTAAAGGTTAGCTGCTTTGCGACATCAGAATCTATAGGGCCGTAAGGAATCTTCGCTCAAGAGTTCGAAAATGGCTCTGGCTTTGAACTTACGGCTTTGTAACTTGATAATTAGCCCTTGACTAACGCGCTCCCATTTTCTATCTTAATTGACACATCTCCCTCTGAAATACTTTACTTTTTAAGAGAAAAAAATCTTTGTCAAAAAAAATCTTTGTTATAACGCTTGGAAAAATTAGCATTTAAGATGGAATCAGGCTCTCGCGTAATACGTAGCTAATAGCTTGAGATGTAAATCACATCTATTAATATTTATATTGTGAGTAATTAGATAAATTCTATCATTTTCGATATCATTTCTAACATTTAAAGCTTAGATGCTATCGGTTATTGATCGTGTCGTGTATGTTAGAAATTTATTTTAAATTAATTTAAGCTGCAACGCATTAGTCATGACAATTGCGATACTAATTGTTATAAAATATTTTAGGTAGTATTATCCTTTGATATCAAAGAAAATTTCTTTTCGATAAAATATCTCTCTCTCTCTCTCTCTCTCTCCTCTCCCTCCTTCTCTACAATTCCGTATGTTGTTTCCTTGGTCAAATGAAGATTCCGCAGTAAACGACAGCGAGATTGGGAGGCGTTTGTGCAACGAAGCATATTTCGCATTCAGTCGATAGCAGACTCAACATTGCCTCCACCGCAAGATTTGAGGCTTGGTGTCGGATATAAAGGATATGCTACATTCCTGAGTATAATATCCGCTTTCGAGGAACGACTAAATCTGATTTACGTCTTTAATAAACGGAGTGAGGGGAAGCGGGAGAATGTGCAGGCACAAGAGAAACAAATAATTTTACAATCGCTGTAGCGTTACTACGTTAAACCGTGAATTCGTTTTGTTCATTTAAACTCAAACGAAAATATCAAACGCACTCACAATGCAAACAAAATTAAATTTTGCTGAATATATTCCGGTACACATTTATATATCTTGTGGCGAAATAATCATAGATTATTAAAAAAATTATTCAAAAAGATTTGAAAACCGCGAATCAGTTTTTGTATAATTTCTTTTATTTTGTATATTATCTAAATTCACAGAAATTAGGAAAATAAATAACGATTGATAAAGGTTGAGAGAAGCCATCCTTACTCAACTAAAAGATTAAATGCCTCTTCGACATTCTAACTCTGAATCTTGTGTATATTTTTTCGCGAAAGAGAAAATCGAAATGACGTAATACGACAGATTGGAAAGAGCCATCACTAAAGTCCAAAGTGCACTTTAAGTTGCCTCCCACGAGTAAGATTCTGCACACATATAGGCCAACCAACCGACTACTTTCACCCAACACGGCTGATTACACTTCGAAAACATTCTGTGGTAACTAACGTTCGCTGGTGTCATCATCTCGCCAGCTTCATATGTCAAAAACTCGAAGCTGAAACAGAGAATAAAATCTCGAATTTCCTGGACTTTGTCACCCGAAATTGATAAAAATATCACTTGTATATTACAATATACCTTTCAACGTAAATTATCATATTTAAATCATCTTCAGATTCATTTTTGTTAAGTCATTATTAAACATTATGGGAATATCTTGGCTAATTGGAGAGTCGTTGTAGAATTAAAATATTGTCATAGCTGATTACAAATTACATGCTGAATTATACTTTTATTTTCATTTTTTTTTTAGTTTATTAATGAAACAATTTATCAATTAATTTATATTTCAAAATGTTTTTATTGCCTATAAATAATTATTATTCTTTATATATTTGAATATGTATTATATATTTATATATTTATATATTTTTCTATGTTACCCTTTCACAAAAAAATTGACAGCTCGTTTGGAATTGAATAACGAGAGTGTAGCAGCTACATTCTTAGTTTGTCGATAGACTGACAAAAAAATAATGTCTATTTATATATTGTATATATAAACACGGACATTACTTTATTTTTTGTCAGTTACGTCAGATGTACAAAAATCTATCGACAAACTAAGAACGTAGCTGCTACACTCTCGTTATTCAATTCCAAACGAGCTGTCAATTCTTTTGCGATACTAAATTTCACATCGTGACACTGCGCGATATGTGTAACCAACCGAGACAGAAGGAGTAACGCGGTTAATGGCGAATGACATAAAATACGGCGTGAGAAAGTCACAGGCAACCTGAGACGCTCTCGAAGGAGAATTCGAAAAGACATCTGCCATTCGATTCTAGGCATCAAACGGGACTCGATGCTGCTAGATCGAAGACGAAGAAAAATGAGCACTCCACGCTGAGAGAACGTGCAGCATCCCAGATCCCGGGCACGTGTCTGAAAAGTTTCGGGCTGGAGGAGATGTGAGAGATCTCAAGAAACTCGAGCGTAAGAAATTGAATAGCGGCTAAAGTGTATGTACCGGTCCGATCTTCGATAGCCAACATAGCCACCTTCTCAATACAGAATTACGATACATCGAAGTTATAGTACGTCAGAGTTTCGTTAAGACTTATCTACTGAAACTGATCGGCACGATCTTCATCGACACGAACTTCAGAGTAGAGGCGAGTCTTTACGGAGCAATAAGATTAACAAATAAAACATATAATAATTTAAAAGATAAAACGTACAATTACAATTAATTGCCGTGCAATTATATAATATATATAATAAATGGAAAAATGTACCACACGTTATGATTATTAATAACGTTGTACGACATACGGAATAAATGGATGAACAGAAAAACTAAATGGAAATAAGCGAACGATTAAAAGCAACGATAAATCAGACTTTAATAGTAATCGCAGTAGTTAGAGTCAACGACCCGGAGCAACGGTGATTCCGACCTAAAGCAACTCCGATCTCGATCAGGGCCACCTACTCAATCTGCTGGTCGCCATCCTTCTCTCTTCCTCTTACCCTTTCAGGTTCTTAATCGTCTTGAGCTGATTCGTATCCGAGAGTCGTTCGTCCGTGCAGATGCTCTGTTCTATTGCCGTAGTATCTTGCTTGTTCTCCTTCTATCTTCTCTGCCTTTTCCCTCGACGCCCTTACTCGCGTCGATCCTCAATTCCTTCTCGCATTTCACTGCGATTGCCAAGTATAAGCTCGGAAGGTAGATCAGAGGAACTCTGTAATATTGCAGAAATCGTGGCTGCATCTCCTTTTCGTTGTCTTATATAGGTGTTTACACTCTTCGCACAAGAGCCTATTCGGCGTGTAATGGGAGTATTTCGCGAGGAAATTGAAATCTCTCGACTAACTCGCGTCGAGAAATATTTACTCACGCGTACGCTTAAGAGAAACGGAAATTGATTACTATTATTGGGAAAGTTTGCAAAATATAATACATTAACAGAAATCATTATTTACACTCTGTTTAATCGCGTAAAAATCGCGTAAACTCACAAGCAAACTGTAATTAAACCGTAGATATAATCAACTTCACGATAAAATGCTCAAGACGATTGCATTAATATTCTTTTGATAAATAATTAGAACCACAATCTGTCGTTTCTCGAACGAATCGTCGGGAATAACTGCGAGAGAATTGTGGAAGATAATCGATAGGAGCGAGCGAATCTCAGTAACAGAAATGCGGCTGACGGCCCGAAAATTGATAACGGGATAAGATAGTTTCCATTTACTTCACGTTCTCGACTTTCGCTATGATTTACAGCCACACTTGAAGATATTATCAGCCGTTACGCCCATTTACAGAGAAATTATTGCGCGCCTTGTACCGAGGCGTAGAACGTTTTCAGATACAGAGTACGACTCGCGACCGCAAAATATGTTGTCATACGATTTTCCGTGTTGTTTATACGACGGAAGGATTTTCGAGAGAATGTTACGATCGCAAGTAAACTCTCAGCAATTTTTCTGTAGTCTATAATATATCATCTGAGCCGTGTTTCTACCAACTTCCATACGCAGCTGCGGCACAAATTTGCATGCTCGAGTGAAGTATATTCAGGCATTTGAAAATATATTCGGAGCGGATAACGTGCGATAAAGATAAATTATGCTAAATATGCGCGATAAAAGTACGCATTAGCACAAAAATTCTTCATAATTTAAAAATACTAATCTAGAAGCAAAAACTTAAAAAAAGTCGTAGACATATACGGAGGAAACGATTTTACTCGTATTCAAAAATTTAGCTACAGATTTAAAAATAATTTTGTTAGATCATCAACATTTTTAGAACATTCAAAATGAAATCCGAATGCTAGAATGTCAATATGAATTCAAAGAGAACAGTCAAATAGATAAATAAATGAATGATTGCGGACAAGGTTCACATCACTTCAAATAAAATGAATAATTAATGAAGTTGAAATCCAGACTCCTCTGACGTGTTACGTGGATAACAAGACATCGTCGCTCGCGGCTATTTACTGCGGTATTCCCCGTATAATTCTCCGTAGAATAATTTAATTGCGGTTCTGTCTAATTTAACAATTCTCTGCGACGTTCTCGCGTGCTGAATAAAGTGCACGTGATTTGGCTGTGATCCGCAGAAAATTTCTCGCGTTCGCGTAATAGGTGAATGTACACGCAATGAGAACAGCTGGCGGACCACGTGGTTTCTTCTGTTGCGGCACGCTCTGAACGCGTGGTACGAATGTATTCATAGCCATGACACCTCCTGGCTCTTCCTCACCAGTTCCTCGTCATCGTCAAATCGAGATCTGTGCGCTGAAATAGACGGCTGGGTGCTATTCACCCGAGCGTACGCGCTTGAAATAGTTAATACTTCTCGCGTTATAAAGCGCTCAATCAACACCGTTTTCCCTCTAGTGTTCTTAGTAACACGTATGTGAAAGTACAATATAATCTTATAATTCTATTTACTTTCGCCTCCGACTCCCAGGAGTACGCTAAATATTTTGAAACCTCCGCTTTTCCGGCGAATTCCGGCAAATTATATGTCATGTGCTGTTAGAACAGTAGCTAAAAATCGCAGCTGGAAAAAAAAATATATATATATATTTTACCGAGAATATGACGCTAATAAGGCTTCTGTCTTATCACGAGTGAAGCAAAAGTACGTTTTCGTGAAGATCTGATAAAATGAACAAACAGTCGCGTTACGACGTCAGAGAGGACGGGACCTGACGCTGCCTGCAATTTTCCTCAGCCGGCACTTTTAATCAAGAAACGCGAGGAGATGGAGAGAGAGAGAGAGAGAGAGAGAGAGAGAGAGAGAAGCGAAGCCCTCGAAATAGAATCTCAGTTACCGCGTTGGGACGCGGTAGTTCAGCATCTTCCTCAGGGCGAATACATGTCCCTGTAAACGCCGCGAACATGATCTCCGTGGAATTACATTTCGCTCTCAACCGCTGGAATGTTTCCACCATTTGATTTTCTCTCCGCCGCGCCGCCGCGCGTCTTGCCGTATCCATGAGACGCAGCATCACGCTCGAGAAGATTCCTGAAGAGCTATATGCATGATGCAGCATGTGCACGGCATCTACGACAATTTACGGTTTTGCAAGCATGCGTTTTTGATTTTCGATTGTAATACTTGGACAATTCGTTGCGATATAAAGCAAAATCGTATTTGAAAATTTCTGTTCGCAACGTATAAAAAATAACGCGATTGACTGGGGATGGAAAATATTTATAAATATTTTCGTGGTTGAAAATATTCTATATTTTGGATAACGGCAGAATTTTGCTGTATCTTCGCGTTGATCGTGTAGGCTAAACACGTCATGAGTAAACTAAAAATGTCCTCTTCTGGTGTTTCATCTCGGTATATTTTTCATCGTAAAAGTGCCCGAGGGAAAGGCAGAGAAAGTGTATGTCTAAATGAAGAGATCGTTTGAAAAGGGTACGACTTGAGGTTGACCTAAGTAATTGCGCTTCGGACGATCTTCATCCTCCTGGTTAAATGAAAAAAAGAAATGATCATTACGACCTTTGTCCATTCTCCTCTTTTTCGAAGATTTTCCTTTACTTGTCATTGGTTATTTTTTAACAAGTTTGAGAAAGAGAGGAGAGAGATTGGCGTTTAATCAATAAAAAATTTACAAATAAAACGGACACAAACAAAGCGTGTAAATCTTTGAAGCATACAGAATAATTTGTAAAATAAACTTTAATGTCTGACGTATGTTATTTTCAAAATAAATGCTAAAATGTGTAGTTAAAAGATAGTTGAAAAAGAGAGGACGAGTTAGCAAAACGTAAATGTTTTTTTAAAATCCCAGCATCGTTAACTTTTAAGACGAACCTGAATGACGTTTTCGCGCGTTAAAATATCTGAAAGGAATTTCACGTATGCAGTTTTCGTGAAACTTTGACTCTCTAATGAAGTGACACCGGTCATAAACCTAGAATTTCCTCTCTAAAATCTCTCTACTGCAAGTGCTCTTTAAGTTCACGTGATTATCAAAACTGTATCATCGGTACTATTTTAACACTTTATGCATATATTTTATTGCCTTTTCAAATCTCGTAAATTATTATTCACGTATTTCAGAAAAAGCCCCAGTTTGGAACTCCAGTTTGTAGCTTCGCGCTAAATAAACTCATCATATTTACAAAATATTTGTCGTGTTTTATATTTATTCATCTATCCGTGATGAGCAACTCGTTGAACTTGGAAAAAAAAATATCAAAAAAAAGCACAGCGTCAAAACCGAAAAAATACAAAAAACCGAAGAATTAATTAACATTTTTCTGACATTCAATTTATCAGAGATAAATATAATCAATGAAATAAATACTTGTTCAACTTCCTAAAATATTTGCGAAAATTCTTTTGCGAGTTTATTTCGGTAGAACGTACATTTGCAAGTGCAAATATTTAACGAAGTTTCTTCGGTATTTCCAAATAAACATCTCTACTATAAACGGCCGAACAGTCCGAACGCCGAAGAATGAGCACAATTCGTTCTTAGAAGTGTTCTCGTTGTAAAGGCTTTACACCATACGGAACGTTTTATATCCCGTTGTCTTGCGAGGATAGTTCTAGCACCTATAGACCCATGATCAACGCGATCAGATAGAGAAGCTATCAACGGAAGATAACGATAAATCCGGAAAAGAAAGAAAGAATGGAAGGCCACTTGAGCCCTTCGATAATGGCGTGTCGCGACCACGCGAACACCGATTTTCTCGGTCGACTTGCCTCATGCGCTTTCCTTTTTAAGATAGATAGATCTCTTTAGGGTTGGCGTGCCATTACGGTCAGTCACAGTTCTACAGTTCCTCGTTTCTTACTTCCCATTCTACCCTCGTATTTTTGTAGGATTTTCGAGTAATAGGAACAATCGTGGTGTTTGCCGGTATTTTCGACAAAGATTATTTCAATATTATATTAAATTAAGTCATTCACACGAGATGACGCTATATTAGTGACACATTCATACATGGCTTTGATGAAGTATGTAAAAATTTAACTAAATATAGAACTAAAAATAATTTTGTTTTTCCATCATCGAATCGTAACTACGTAAAACGATTAAACATTGATGATGCCACAAAAAATTTTAACATTCATTATTAGCGGCTAGTTTAAGCGTCCTGGAAATTATTATTTTAATGTTCCAAACGAAATTATTTCCAAATTTGTATTTAGCTAAATTTTTAGCTATCTCAATAAAAACTTTCTTTCATATAACCGTAGAGAAACATTGTAATTATATTCCAATTAAATTATTTAAATTAAATAGAAAATTCACTTCGTTACCTATGCCGTATAAAATTGTATTAAATATTATTGTTATCATAATATTATATAAAGTTTCAAAGTTATCCCAAATATTGTCGAACGTAACTTTAGCCATCTTCTCGATGGACTTCTGTACAAACTGTTCGTTGCGGATTTCCTATTCTAATTAGCGAGGTTTACTTCGCGAATGTTCGCGAATTAAATAGTCGTTCTCGGAGGACACGAGATAAAAGCGATCTCTTATAAGAACGGCTTGCATTTAGTAAACGGATGTACGTGCCAACGATATACGCTGGAGGATGAAGGTATGTCGTATATGCGCGCGTGACTCACCTTTTGAAAAATTTTTCCATGGCGCTCACGAAAGAATTCTCAGGATGCACACTACGGGCGACTTAAAAAGTACGGGCTGTAGACATACTCACCTGAAAAATAGAAGGGATCTACATTACAACCACATTATGTGTTACACGAAGCGCGAGTTGAAGAACAGCTCATAATAACAAAACGCGTAATTTTCTTATATAAATTTAGATGCTATTAATTATTATTTGTAAAAGAATATCGCAGTATCATAGCTGCGTTCCATTTGTTACTCACACTTCTTGAAATTATTTCCTTGTTATTTATTGAATATTAAACAAAGGTAAGTGACGCTTATAAACGCTGTAAGCACCTAATGGAACGCACCATTTAATACTAAAAAAATTAAAGAAATTCTGTATTTAAACGACACCACTATTTTTTTCTCACAAATCTACAACCGATTGCGACGCTAGTTCTTCGGTTTTGTACATAGATATCCTGTCGCCCAGATTTACACCGATAAAACGCGAATACTCGCGAATATCGCGAATCGACAGAATTTCCTTCCTTGTGGAAGCGCTACATCGGTACGACCAAGTGGGTCGCTTCGTCGTGTTATTTCCGGTTTGTTCATGTAATGTAATTTCCTGTATCAATGGAACTCCACTAACGGTGGCTTTGCAGAGTCGCAAACGCTTTCTAATACAAAACAAGGGAGAGATTCTTCGCGAATTTTACGAAACTATTATTAGTAAATATTATTGCTATTATCTAAAATGTCAATATCATGACTTAAAAAATATATAATTATTGAATAAACTTTCTCCCTCTCTTTCTCTCTATTATGAAACATGTGACGATATTTATCTGGAAATTCTGTAAGTGAAACTTTAACAATCCAATCCATTTATATTCGATATTTGCAGAGCACTGGCACAGCCAGTTATCAGCAGAACGACTATAAATATTGTTGCAATGTAAATGTACTTATCTAAAGCGCACAACGAGTTATGGTCGGTGGTTTCGTAAACCACTTGGCTGTTTAATCGACATATAAAGACATTGAGATATTGATGATAATTGTAAAAATAATTATTAGCCGATTCGTTTCAAATCAAATGATTATAATGTTCATGTGCCAATCAATTAGTGAAAAATATTCAAAGATACCATTGCCATATATATAATATGCACCATTTACATTACAGCACCACTTAGTCAGTGCTCACCGATATTACTATACCTGTATTAAAAAAAAATCGATTCCAAATAATACTCAAATGGCAAAATGATTTACAATAATCGCTGCCCGCGTGATAATTGAAAATGTAACGCAATAATCGTTTTCAAATTCGTTGGCCATTATTCTCTTAATTAGGTTAACTTATCAATTAATCGCGGTGATTGATAATTCCCGTTGAAATACAGTTAAAATGGGCGCATAGCAAGCGGTCAATGGTATGTATCCACCGTAGATATTGCCGTGGCATGCAGGTGACGATTCGATCAACCGCTTCGCGGTGAATATTCGGGTGCATTTTCGATCGTCGACCCCGAAATCGCATTTAAACTCATTCAACAGAAGTCCATTAAGAACTTTCAATTCCCAACTGTAACATTAAACTTAGTTTCCAGTACTGAGAAGTTCGGAACACTTATCTATCTCGAGACGAACAATTCTTTAAGGATTCTTCTTTCGATCAACGAAGGAGGAAAAGCCTCATTTCCTAAAATAGGCTGCAAGTGCACAAGATTTAATCAAAGTGATAGACTCTCGAACAATTTTACTAATTTGTCATTTCTAATTCGTTAATTCTCGAAAAAAGTTCAACATTCCATGAATTGTTATAAGCATCACAATGTAATATTTTGCAATATCTTTCAAATGCGAATTCTTGATAAAACAGAAATAAAATCCCCGATTTTTCTGTATTATATTCGTATTTATTTATCGAACATATTTTTCATGCGCGTTATTGTCAGTCCATCAACGATATGCTATATTTCAATTTTATTAAACATGATAAAATCGGGTTAAAGCCCTATTAAATCAGTTGGATCTATTAAACGTTGATGTTTCAAATAAACAAGAAACTCCGTTACATAATCTGTAAGTCCATAATATTTTACGCCGCACGATATCGCGAGATTGCAAATCCAATTTGGCGCGATGTCCAGGAATGGAAATTTTATTTTTTCATCAATAAGAGAGCACGCGGTTATATCCGAGCATCATATTGGTGCTCCGCTACAGATCCGACCTGGATTGAAAGCCGGCGATTGAATCGCGTGCTCTCGGAAGCGATTAGATTTTCCCTTCGGAAGAGAAGGGGAAGGGCTGCTCGGTTGTAACACGTGTGTTACCGAGATTCAAAAACCGATTATTGTTAAGCCGCGACGACACGGTCGATACGGTCGTAACGGGCATAACGGACACGAAATTTGGTGTAGAACGATAGGCAGAGGCTGCATTCATGCATACAGCTAGACCGAAAATGCAGTTTACGATGCGGCTGAACGCCGCCATGTCGTGTCGTGTCGTGTCGTGTTGTAAGCGTTATGCGCGTTTTCGCTATTAACCTTAACTGTCCACCATCGTTGTTCGCGATGAAACGATACAACTAAAGAGTAAAGTGGTCCCCATTGCTGTTTGTTAAACAAGTTAAAAAAGAAGCGAAAACTAAACTACCGAAAGAAAAAATATCTTGAAGTAAGCAAAGAATAAGTCCTATTAGGATTCACCGAATAAATAATTTTCTTATGTTAACAGAATTAATGTATCAACAGGGCAATAAGAGTCAAATTAGTATAAAGTTAAAATTAAAAAGTTGCATATATTGAAGAAAGCCATTGAGATGAAGCTATTCTCATGTATCACAAAATTACTGATTTTTTTTTTTGGAGAATAATGTGAAACGCAGTAAAAAATTAAATTTTAAAAATTAAATATTTCTTATGTTAACTATGTTAACTTAAATTCTACTGTATCTCTCTAATGAGAGAGATATATTAATAAAAAAATTCTACTCGATACAAGAAAATTATTTATCCGATTTTAATAACTTATTTTTTTGTTATTCCAAGATATTATGTCATAATGACGCAACATACACAGATACATAAATTCATATATTGAAGATATATTCAATCGATTCGGCTCATTTAAATTCTTCGAGATTTCCTGTAGTTTTGTTTTTTTATTTATGACTTCTACTGTGTCTCTAATTTTTTTTTATGATATAACATCCATTTCCTTCACATCTACAGTGACGATATGGATAAAATATCAATGTCAAATTAATTATAAAGAATCAGATGAAGGTAAAAGAAACAGCGAGGTAATACAGATATTACATTACGGAATTAATGAATAGTTGAAAGACGAGAAGACCTTCTGCTGCCTCGATGTCGCGCGATCAGATGGCTACATTGCAGTTATCAACCTAATTACGCGATTATATCGTATCCGGGACTCGATTAATCGGATGGAGATCGCAACGTGCCGATGACCTAACCGAGCATTGATAGGACGGAACGTCGACGCATCTGTGCGCATCTGTGTGCGA